CCCTCCTATCCTACGAATTCCGAGCCCCGGGACACCCCCGTTGCTTAGAACAAAGCGATAGAGTAAAATCTTTCCCCTGCACTGCGCTGCGCTGAGACGGCTCGCGGGAGAGCTCGTGGGTAATACGCATTTATATCATTAAGCAGAGGTTCAAACTCCAATCCGAACACCACTGGCCACGAGCTTTGGGCTCTGCTCTCACGGAGAATATTTATTTATATAGCATTTTTTTTTTAGATGAACTAGAAACAATGTTTAATTTATAAAGTTTTATTTTGAAATGTAAGTCAATAACAATTGGCTGGAGCCAGAGCCAATGGTGAAAGTCTTTGCGTGAGGAGACCCCGCCCCATTTTGGAGGTTCCACCCACTTTTGGAGTTCACGCCCCATTTTGGAGATCTCCGGTCTGCAGTTATATCTACTTGTATATAGTAGGGGAACTTACCGTTAACCATTTAACAGGTTTTTACTGTAGCATTTTTACAGTTTTTTACCGTTAAATTCACGGCCATTTTTTACAGTGTGGAAAGCATTGTCAAGAGCCCGACATAGACTTTTGGTTCCTTTTAATCAAAAACTTTCTTGTTTCCCAAGCAAGCCGAAAAAAAAAAAAAACTTTACGCCAATGCCTAATTTTAAAAGTAAATAACAACTGACAATAACCGTTATGTTAAAAACCATCAACAGCAACATTGAAAGAAGAATAACTGTAACTTACTTCTTTGGCAATGGTTCTGGTTCCAGCAACGCTCGCCGAAATTCCCGTTGATGGTGGTCTGTTTGCAGGTTATCGTCCCCATGATGGTACCCGGGCAAATGTCTCCGCACTCCCGCTTGTCTTTGTTTGCCACAATGTAGTTGTCCTCCACCGAGTCAGAGATCTTGGACCAGTCGAGAGTGAACAAATAGCAGAGGTTGGGGTTCTTCTCGATGCGCACGGCTCCTCGAGTGATGTTGGTCATGCTGTGGAGACCGATTTCCTTCAGCTGGATCATTTCGAACATGACCAGGGCGTAGTTGAAGAAGAGGTTGTTGCCTCGGATGACGGTGAGGTTCGGGAAGAGGTCGCCCAGACTCTCCAGGCCGTAGACGCGGAAGAGGAGCAGGTAGTCCGTGATCACGACCAGCTTCGGGAAGCTCAAGCCCCGGAAGTCCTCCAGTCTGGATTTGAATATAAGCAGGATCTTCAGGTGGCCCTCGATCACTGTGCAGTTCTCCAGAACACGCAGGTGGGTCGCATTGTTGCGGATATCTGTGCTGGGGCAAACTGCAATGACAGACAGAGGACAGTTACTAGCAAAGTAACTGTTACATTTTCATTGGATTACACTTTAAAAGATTAAAGTGTTACTTCAACCAAAAATGAACATTCTGTCACCGTTTACACCCCCTCATGTTGTTCCAAACCTGTAAGAGTTTCTTTCTTCTTTCTTCACAAAAGAAGCTATTTTGAAGAATGCTGTTAATCAAACAGTTGCCGGCAGCCACTGACTTGCATAGTTTGGGAAATCATAATATGGAAGTCAATGGCTACTGTCAACTGTTTGATTAGCAGCATTCTTCAAAATAGCTTCTTTTGTGTTCAGCAGGAGGAGGAAATTCATACAGGTTTGGAGTGGCATGAGTATAAATGAGGTAAATTCTGACTATTTTCATTTTTGGGTGAACTATCCCTTTAAAATTGCTTTTAAAATTAAATTGTTAATATTGTACGCTTTCATTTGATTGTCACTGTAAATTTGTATTAAACTACAAATCCAGGAAAGTTAAAACAGACAACAGAGTTCCTGAAAACAACATTTCTTAGGACTCTATTATTATAAAAATTGTAGTAAATTATTAAAATAGTACATATTTTTGAATTCATATGATTAGACATGCTTATTGATTATTAAAATGGTATTAAACTATTAAAACAGAATTCAAATGGAAAAACAAAATAAAATTGAATTTCTAAATATATAAACATTCAATAATTTGTTAAATTGCATGTATTTCATGATTTCAATTACTATGAAATGCTTTTCGAGTGCTAAAATTTAAGTCAAAAATTAAAAAAATTAAAAAATAAATAAAAATAAATTAGCAATTTAAAAATTAATTAAAAAAATTAAAATGGCAAATTTGAATTTTAGAAAAAATAAAATTTTAGTTACACCCAGCGTCACTACCCCCTCCTACCCTGCGAATTTCGAGCCCCGGGATGCCCCTGTTGCTTAGAACAAAGCGATAGAGTAAAATCTTGCGCTGCGCTGGGACGGCTCGCGGGAGAGCTCGTGGGTGATTCCCGTTTATTAAGCAGAGGTTCAAACTCCGGTCCGAACAACACTGGCCACAAGCTTTGGGCTCTGCTCTCACGGAGAATATTTACTTATATAGCATATTTTATTTTAGATGAACTAGAAACAATGTTTAATTTATAAAGTTTTATTTTGAAATGTAAGTCAATAACAATTGGCTGGAGCCAGAGCCAATGGTGAAAGTCTTTGCGTGAGGAGACCCCGCCCCATTTTGGAGGTTCTGCCCACTTTTGGAGTTCACGCCCCATTTTGGAGATCTCCGGTCTGCAGTTATATCTACTTGTATATAGTAGGGGAACTTACCGTTAACCATTTAACAGGTTTTTACTGTAGCATTTTTACAGTTTTTTACCGTTAAATTCACGGCCATTTTTTACAGTGTGGAAAGCATTGTCAAGAGCCCGACATAGACTTTTGGTTCCTTTTAATCAAAAACTTTCTTGTTTCCCAAGCAAGCCGAAAAAAAAAAAAAACTTTACGCCAATGCCTAATTTTAAAAGTAAATAACAACTGACAATAACCGTTATGTTAAAAACCATCAACAGCAACATTGAAAGAAGAATAACTGTAACTTACTTCTTTGGCAATGGTTCTGGTTCCAGCAACGCTCGCCGAAATTCCCGTTGATGGTGGTCTGTTTGCAGGTTATCGTCCCCGTGATGGTACCCGGGCAAATGTCTCCGCACTCCCGCTTGTCTTTGTTTGCCACAATGTAGTTGTCCTCCACCGAGTCAGAGATCTTGGACCAGTCGAGAGTGAACAAATAGCAGAGGTTGGGGTTCTTCTCGATGCGCACGGCTCCTCGAGTGATGTTGGTCATGCTGTGGAGACCGATTTCCTTCAGCTGGATCATTTCGAACATGACCAGGGCGTAGTTGAAGAAGAGGTTGTTGCCTCGGATGACGGTGAGGTTCGGGAAGAGGTCGCCCAGACTCTCCAGGCCGTAGACGCGGAAGAGGAGCAGGTAGTCCGTGATCACGACCAGCTTCGGGAAGCTCAAGCCCCGGAAGTCCTCCAGTCTGGATTTGAATATAAGCAGGATCTTCAGGTGGCCCTCGATCACTGTGCAGTTCTCCAGAACACGCAGGTGGGTCGCATTGTTGCGGATATCTGTGCTGGGGCAAACTGCAATGACAGACAGAGGACAGTTACTAGCAAAGTAATTGTTACATTTTCATTGGATTACACTTTAAAAGATTAAAGTGTTACTTCAACCAAAAATGAACATTCTGTCACCGTTTACACCCCCTCATGTTGTTCCAAACCTGTAAGAGTTTCTTTCTTCTTTCTTCACAAAAGAAGCTATTTTGAAGAATGCTGTTAATCAAACAGTTGCCGGCAGCCACTGACTTGCATAGTTTGGGAAATCATAATATGGAAGTCAATGGCTACTGTCAACTGTTTGATTAGCAGCATTCTTCAAAATAGCTTCTTTTGTGTTCAGCAGGAGGAGGAAATTCATACAGGTTTGGAGTGGCATGAGTATAAATGAGGTAAATTCTGACTATTTTCATTTTTGGGTGAACTATCCCTTTAAAATTGCTTTTAAAATTAAATTGTTAATATTGTACGCTTTCATTTGATTGTCACTGTAAATTTGTATTAAACTACAAATCCAGGAAAGTTAAAACAGACAACAGAGTTCCTGAAAACAACATTTCTTAGGACTCTATTATTATAAAAATTGTAGTAAATTATTAAAATAGTACATATTTTTGAATTCATATGATTAGACATGCTTATTGATTATTAAAATGGTATTAAACTATTAAAACAGAATTCAAATGGAAAAACAAAATAAAATTGAATTTCTAAATATATAAACATTCAATAATTTGTTAAATTGCATGTATTTCATGATTTCAATTACTATGAAATGCTTTTCGAGTGCTAAAATTTAAGTCAAAAATTAAAAAAATTAAAAAATAAATAAAAATAAATTAGCAATTTAAAAATTAATTAAAAAAATTAAAATGGCAAATTTGAATTTTAGAAAAAATAAAACGGACTTCATAGGGCCCTTAAAATGTAGCAAAAATTTACTTTGGACAAAAACTATGGTAGGGATGTCAATAGTACCACTAAACGATAAAGATGATACGCACACAAATAAATGAATGAATAAATAAATAAATGAGAGAGAAAAAAAATCTGGAATATCCAAAATGTCTAACTGCCACCATCTGTTATGCTACTGACATTAATAAAAAAATTACTAAAATGTATACATTTATAATAATAAATGACTACATTTTGATAAAAAATACACTAGTACAAAAATTACAATATCAAAAACAAATAAAACTATATAAATTCAAAACAAAACTCTCATTTCCCCCTTAGAAATAAATGAGAGAGAAAAAAAAACTGGAATATCCAAAATGTCTAACTGCCACCATCTGTTATGCTACTGACATTAATAAAAAAAATTACTAAAATGTATACATTTATAATAATAAATGACTACATTTTGATAAAAAATACACTAGTACAAAAATTACAATATCAAAAACAAATAAAACTATATAAATTCAAAACAAAACTCTCATTTCCCCCTTAGCAATATTTGTGATTTACATCATTACATTTTTGATATTCATTATAAAAAAGCCTTTGTGATGCTGAGACAAATGTGTATTCAGCTGCACTTTATATGAACAAAAAATACAAGTGAATTTCAAAACCCACAATTATTTGTATGGCAGCTGACCTCCCGCCACAATTTCATGACTGCGACAGCCCTAGCATAAACAAAAAGCGCGTAAAAGCGCACGTGAAGGCCGTCCTAACAGGAGCAAGAAAGATTATCAACACTGAATAATGCATAAAGCGTGTCTCTGTCCGGCTACTTTTCTTAGTTCATTCATAATCCAAACCCGCACATGCAGCGCTTCGCAACAAGAGAGCATCTGCTAATGGATAACATCAAGAAATCCTTCCAAAGCTGCTCCATTGATTCACCATCAAAAGAAATCTCTCAGGCCTTTTTCAGGGGGGGGGTCGTCTCGTTTCATGCTGGAAATCATTACGAAATATTCACCGCCGAAGTGTACAGAAACACCCATTTTAAGACATTACCAGACTAAATCATTAAAAAGTACGGTGGAACGTGCAATTTAGAGATTACGACAAATTCTCAGAGGCCAAATCTCAACTCAAAGGACATCGCTGGAAAACAAAGAGCTTTTCTGTCAATTGTGTTTCTCGAGGAGACAAAGACAGCGTGTGATTTGTGGTGTGAGCAGGTGTCAAAGTCTTTGAGACTCGGCTGATCTCAACCAGACTCTGTTTTTCCTCTTTGTTTCTGCAGATGACAGTTATCAGAGTTAATGCTTTTCTCATTGCAGCCTGAAATGGCAGTTTTACCTCATCTTATCATGATATGACGGCCTATATGTATAAAAACCCAAATAAAACCACAAAGTTGCTGTTGAGGACGAATTCACTGAACAAAACTCAAGCTCATTGAGATTCAGGTGCTTCCTTCAATTACAGAATGCAAACTTTTTGGGTGAATTTGCCAGGACATATTACACTGCAAAAAAAACAAAACAAAAAAACAGAAGAAATCACATTTTGCATAAAAAATAGATATATAAATATTAATATTACAAAACATAACTTTTTTTAAAATCTTAATATTTATTTTACAAAAGTGTTCATTTTCTTTAAGTTAAAATTAGCATGTGTTAAAGGCAGTATAGCTAATAGTACCATTATATAAAAAATATTTTTAAAATTAAATAATATATTTGTTTTGCATTACAGTAATGAGAATGAGAAGAGTTCACAAAACTCATACTTTTTTATTTATTTATTTTTAGAAAGTTTAAATAGTACAATTATCACAATAAATAAAGAAATAAAATTAATAATAATAAAAATTTAAATCAATTACATTTTGCATAAAAATAATAATTTTAAATTTGTTTCGCATTACTGTAATGAGAATAAGAACAGTTCACAAAATTCAAATCTAACAATCCTAAAAATGGTCCTTTATTTCTTTCAAACAAAAAAAACAAAAAAACTTTTTTTTTTGTTTTTTTATTATGATGTTTAATGTGGTCTGGATATGTTCTTTACAGGTTCCAAGAGATCACCATTTTAACTGTGCAAACCTGATTTCCCTAAAATAACTGACTGACGTAGACACTAGATAAAACTGACTGCGTTTCAGACTGACACACAGATCATTGATCTTGTAACGGTCAGGAAAGCAACATTTGTACATCGGGACAAACTGAAGACCCCTCACCCTACAAGATCCTGACACGAGTTTCTTAGCCAAACTCTAATATTACCACACACACACGAGAAACGGTTACATCAGGTCCCTAAAGATAATTGAGCAAACACCATAAAACGCAACATCTCTCCATAGCAACACGTCCCAGCATGCAGCAACACAGAGCGTTTGCCAGACAAAAAGGCACTTCAGCCTGTTTACCTCGGAGGAAAAGTCTGGAGGGGAAAATAAAAATAACCGGAAAACACAAATAATATCTTGTAACAGTCTGGTGCCAAACTCTAATGGTGTGTGCATGCCAAAAGTGAAGCGAATATTCACATCTCGTTGTCGCTCTAGATTACTCAGGGGATGCTTTGTGTGTCACTCACTAGGCTTGCTGCGATAGATGATGTTTTCGTTATACCGGTGTTAATCCGCCCCCCACCGTCGTTTTGATTTTTTTATAGTAACTAAAATCATTTAGCCTAGTTCAGTTAGAGGACAGACACTTTTAAAAACTGAACGCTCAAAGCAACATGCCGAACCGTGCGCGAACGACAGTGCACCACGGAGCAGGAGTCAAGAGTGAGTCGAGCTGACTGACAAGAGTGAGGTGAGAAAGACAAGACGATGGAAGAAGATTGTTTAGAAAGGAAATGCAAAGGCGCC